CCTCAATTGAGAAGCTTCGAAGTAAAGATTCCCTCCATCTGGCCCCTGAGGGGCCCTTAGCCCTTCATTGAGTTTGCTAAGTCCAAACAGTACACGGACTTAGCAATCACGGTTCTTCCGATAAGAGAGTACAACCCCTTTTTCCTGACTCCTTGTATGACGACACGAGGGTCTTTGGTTACTCTGATGCAGTCATTCTCTGCTTTGAACGAGCATCCGCTTGACTCCAGCGTACCTAAAGAAATCAGATTTCTTTTGAGCTCTAGTACGTACCTGACATTTTTCAGTACTCGTTCAACTCCATCAAACATCCTTATCCTGATTGATCCATTTCCAACAACCCTGTGAGCTTTATTGTCTCCCAGTAGAACAGACCCATCATTTTCCTGTTGCAGTGTCTCGAACCAGTCTTTGTGAGGACACATGTGGAAAGAACACCCTAAGTCGAGGATCCACTCCTTACTGGATTTAGATTCTGTGATCACCAGGGCCTCAGCAGAATCGTAGTCATCAGAGGCTACGCTTGCTTCTCCTGATTCTTCTGGCTCTTCTTGGTACTTATTCTTCCTGTCTGGGCAGTTCCTCTTGAAATGACCGTCCTTGTGACAATGATAGCACTTGAAAAATCCCCTTGATGACTGATTATCGTCATCCTTGCTTGATCTTGATATGTAATGATCATTTCTTGAATCTTTTCTGTCTAATTTTGCTCTGACAATAAGGTTGTCTCCGCTGACTTCCTTGTCCCTGTCATGTTTCTTCTGAAGTTCTTTGGCTCTAATCAGAGATTGAACCTCCTCCAAAGTAATAGTTTGCACCATTCCATAGAGCATCGCATCCTTGAAATGCTCGTAGCTCTTAGAAATAGAGTTTAGCAACAATAGTGCTTTATCTTCATCATCCATCTTGACGTCGATGTTCTCAAGGTCGTCGATGATCTTGTTGAACTCGTCGATCTTCTTTGAGACGGATTTGTCTTCATGCATTTTGGAGGAGTATAGGCGCTGCTTCAGAAAGAGTCTATTAGCCAGAGACTTTGTCAGGTAGAGTACCTCGAGTTTGGTCCAAAGTGCTTGAGCCGTTGTCTCCCTTGACACCTCCCTCAAAACTTTATCGCCCAGGCTCTAATCAATTTGCAGGATTATCAAACTGTGGGCCTTGTCCAGTATGTCGATTTTCTCCTTCTAGGTCATGTCGGTCGGCAATGTCGCCGACCATTGCAAGGCTTCTGCAACACCCTACTGAACCAATAGTGCTTTCATCTTTACTCTCCATAGGCCGAAGTCATTCTTCCCGTTGAATTTCTCAATGTTGAATTTGGCGGAACTCATTGTCGTGGCTAGGATTTCTTCCAATGAATTCTACCTGCTGCCCTTCCAAAAACTAGGCTGAAATCACAAAAATGTTGTATTATTGTATAGCAACCAAAAGTTTTCAGCCTAAACCTGCCTTTTAACGCCTTGATGCCCAAGAAATTCTCACCAAATTTCTTACCTTCTCCCCGTGAACTACACTGCCTTCGCCAACCGAACGGAGAGCTCCGATCCCTTCTGACAGAGATCACA